TCTATATTATATTATAACATATTTGACAAAAATATTTTTGAAAATCATTTTTTATATTTCAAGTACTGTTTATTTATGCATATTACTCAAAATTCAAGATTACAAATAATTATGCGTAAATCTTCATTTTTGAATTCGTGTAACTAACTATAGATAAACATAATCAAATATGAGATAAAAATCTCAATTTAAATATAAAAAATCTAAAATATAATTAAGATAATCACTAGTTATAACAAAATATTGCATTATTTTCTTTATAGAAAATTATATTATTAAACGATAAATAAATTATTTCATTATTAAATCTAAATTAAATTATAAATAAAATATTGAATTAAAGAAATTACACAAAAAAAAAAAAGAATTTTAAATAGTAAATTTGATAATAATATCAATGTATATTTTTTTTTCAAATTTTTATGATATCTTTAGATTTATATTTTATTAAAAAAAATTATTGCTTTATCAAAACCACTAAAAACCGTATTATATCGACAGAGACAAAAAAATAAAACGAAACATTAAAATTGAGATATATCTCGCTGCATTATACAAGCACCGTTCTAGTATACTTAAAAGCTTTAAAAAAAATTATAACACATTGAACCTGATTGGTACTAGCAACACCGTGATGAGATGAGTGCTAGATGGTTGGACGAGAAGGTTTTAGCTTATCATTGATGTCTTCCGCCTTCGGAGATAGCGACAGTTATTGGGTTATAGTAACACCCGACCTTGTTTTAATCTTTGTGTAATGTTTTGTCTATCTTTTTGTTGATGATGATTTTAAATTCGATATTCGAGGTAATTCAAGTATTGATTAATAGAAAAGGGATTTACCCTTTATCCGTTGTATAAATGAAAATTTTAAATTAGTCTGTCTTTCCAGATTTGAGGGTGTTACAACATGTTCTTGTATTAATGAAAATTTTAATTAATCTGATTTTGATATTAAAAAAAAGTGTATATACCAATCTTCTATTCGATATTCATAAACTATCAGAATATAAATACACAGTCTTACAAAATTGTACTGCAATATCATAATACATAAAATAAATGTTGATTATTGGGAATATAAGTCGTTCAAAGAAACACCTGTGATAAATCCCTGTGAACTGTGAAGATGTTATTGATTGCTGTAAAAATGCTACAGAATGTTGTTGAGATCTGGATTTACTTTTTGGAAGGACGAGAGTCATTTATACTTAAAGCGTACTCTTCGAAAAAGTGTTCATCGAAATTCGTGAACGTACACATGAAAAAAGCAGGTTCCGAAGGGAGCGCGAGGGTTAGAGAGAGGCTGCCGAGCATGAGAACGACAGAAGCCATAGTTGGTCTCTCCATAACATCTTCTTGAACACATAATAGAGCTATGTGGATGCATCTGATCATATCACGTAAGGAATTTGAACCATTATTTAGCGTCGGATCAATTATACTTGTACTTGTTCCATCTCTCCAACTTTTCCATGCCTAAAACAAATTTCAAAAAAAGAAGTTGATGTAAAAATGAAAAATATATGTTGTCACTACAACAAAATTGGTTTTATAGGACACCCCCAATCTTTATGTGTTCTAATAGACCGCTTTATAAGACTTAATTTATAGAACCAAAATATAAAACGTCCTATCTAAAGGCGTTGTAATAAGTTTATATGACACTTTTGGGCGACTTAACAAGTTTTTGAGGACATTTTTAATACAAAGTGTCGCATTAGCAACTTTATATGACACTTTTGAGAAATTGTCCTATAAACTCATTTTTTTTATAGGACACTTGTTTTTATATGACAGTTTTTCAAATAGTGTCCTATAAAGTTGATAATGGGACGCTTAATATTAAAAGTGTCCTAAAAAACTTATTACGATATCAAAAAACATCATATAAACTTAATACAACAACTTTAGATGAGACACTTCATTTTTTGGTCCTATAAACTAAGTCCTATAAAGAGGTTTATTAGGACATTTAGAATTTGGGAGTGTCCTATAAACCCGATTTTGTTGTAGTGTGTAGAAAAGTAACACATAAGAAGTAATATGTGAACACTTACATGGCTAGGAAGGTCTTCCATTCCGTTCTGAAAACCATGATTTTTATGACCCGTTACAATTTCGAGTACCAATACACCAAAACTGAAGACATCCGACTTAACTGAAAATTGTCCATGCATTACATACTCCGGTGCCATGTATCCACTGGTACGATAAGAATACATATTAATTAATTAGTGGAAGAATGAAAGTTCATTATCATTTTTCAGTGAAGACAAAATTTCCGTTAAGTGACGGGAAAAATATTAAAGACAGAATAAAGATCGTAATCTAGATTATCATTTTTAGCGAAAAAATTTTACTCTAAGAAAGAAACATTTAATTTAATTACGTTTTTGGGATAGTGCGACTTACTAGGTTCCAACAATTCGACTGGTGTTACCTTGGGTTTCTTCATGTGTGAATAACCTTGCCATACCAAAATCTGCAATTTTAGCATTCATACCGGCATCTAATAAAACATTACTGGCTTTCATATCTCGATGAACTATTTTTAGTCTTGAATCCTCGTGCAGATACAAAAGTCCCCTTGCAACCCCTTGTATTATTTTGTATCGTGTTTCCCAATCTAGAGTTGCTCGCTTCAGTGGATCTATATTTTTAAGATCAAGATATATATACACGTTAGAATATTATTAGAAGAATGAATTTATACCCATTTACCGTATTTTTTTTCAAAGTATAATTTCGAAAATTGTCAACTTACCGAATATAAACTGGTCTAGACTTGCATTTTGTACAAACTCATACATCAAAAGCCGTTCGGACCCTTCTAGGCTAAACCCTAGGAGACGAACCAAATTCCGATGTTGAAGCCTTGCAAGCAACAATACCTCGTTCTTGAATTCTAGTTCGCGTTGTCCTGAATTATTTGACAACCTCTTCACTGCTATTTCCTGTCCATTTCGTAACTTACCCTGTTGATTTTATTCCAAAAGAATTTAATGATATTTCTGATCCTAAAAATGGTTTCTGGTCGTAAATATTCAATTGCAAAATAATAATTTTGTTGTAGTATATTGTTGATTAACCTTGTAAACCGAACCAAATCCACCTTGTCCAAGCTTATTGTTCTCCGAGAAATCATTGGTGGCTGCTCTAATATCACGAAAGCTACATTGCAATGACTCGGCTGTGATAATTTCATCGAGATCTGTCATGTCTTCGTGAACTGGTATCATTCTCGCAAAGTTAAATATTAGTGGATCAGAAACCCTAATGTTGTATGTAGCATATAGTAAGGAAGTATGAAAGAAAATTAACAACAAGCACACCTGAATTATCTGGTTGCAATCCTTCCAACTTTCCTTTTGCTCTTATGAAGACACAGAAGAAGACCACCATCAGTATCAGAAGACCAACAGTTGCAACGACGATGACAACGACTATAATAGTTGTGTTATTACGCTTGCCTGAAAATCCCATTAGAAAAAAAAGTGAGCATTAAGTATTATTTGACAAACATAAGCTAGTTTATTTCTTGGGTATACGTTTCGATAGACATAAGCTAACTTATAAGTTAATTTGTTAAAATATTAGTTGGAGTAGCTTATGCATTGTTTTTTTTTATCACTTTTTCAATTGTAACTTTCAATAATATTATTTATTACTATAAAATTAAATATTAATTATGAATAAATAAAAATAAATATTAATT